TCTTCCGATCTATCTCAACAATGCAAATTTCAACAGTGTTCGAAATCAATAGTGTTCGAAATCAACAGTGTTCGAAATTTCAACAGTATATAGCTGCAACAGAATTTTTCGAAATCAAACATCTAGATCTCCAGATCTCCAAACCTAGATTAGAATTCTCAGCTAAAATTCAGAAGTTTAGCTCCGAAATCAAAATCTAAACAACAGTGAAAATCAAAAATCTAAAAGACAACAGCGAAAATCAAAATCTGAAAAGAAGATGCGAATCAGCATCTTCGATCTTTTTTTTCACACTTAGTGATCTTCAAATTAGGGAATGTCGGTGGAAATCTCAATTTTGTGCGCTGATTTTCTGAAATTTTGAGCAGCTTTTGCGTTTTTATACGTAGGGCATTAAGCGTGGGTAGTTATTTTGATATTCACGTTTATTTATTAAATGGGTAGGAGATTGTAATTATTTAGTGGGTAGAATTCTTTAATGGGTAGGGCAAGGTAAATAGTTTCACCTTTATAGGTACTCCTGTCTTTTCCCCATTAACTTTGGTACCCGGTGCTTCCCCCTTCTTCTTATAGATGCTTATTTTTTTAATTTTTTTTAACAAAATAGAGAATAAGCTGATAATAACTGAAACAATAAGATAATTAAAAAAAGGCTTCAATATCATTAAAAATTACAGTGAAATTAGAAAATTTTCTAACTAACAACTTTACTTCTTCTAGGAAACAGTCAAACATAATTAAAACCTATTTAATAGTTTAATAGATATTTGTTGCTCTTCTCGCTAGATCTATTATGCCTCCAACTTTGAGAAGGTAAATATAAGTAATTATAGTTTAACATTAGTTTCTAACTTTTCTTACGAGGATTTTGGTGATTATTAGATTTCCCCCCCTTTATTTTGGAACATCAGTAGAGATTGATACAAAGACAAACAGAGCGAGGGAGTTGTCGCACCATATTGAATACAGTTTGAACTTGAATCAAAATTAATTCCTACTTTCTCTAAATTTGACGAAGTATCTTCTCCTACTGATAAAACTTACAAGTTTAGTATATTTTTACTTAATAGGAGCAGTTGGAACTCTTTCTTTTTTTGGTCTTGATATCGATAAGGATTATGCTCTTGGACAACTGATTTGAGCCGCGCTTGGATCATTGATATAAACTTTGTGATATCTATGTGTAGTTCGCTTCTACTTCTTCCACCATCGTGTGGAGATCTTAAAGCATCTATAAAGATAAAATATTCTCCAACATTTATAGTTATTTTGCACTCCAAGTGCTCTAAGGTTTTGATTTAAATTACTTTTTGGTGTACATACTTTGGTATATCGGTTACTCCTATTATATAACAAAAATAGCGACTTCACTAAAATGGAGATTGTGGGCGTATGATCTTCAGGTTTGTTCTTGAAGTAAATACAGTAAATGCAAAACTTTTGGTATATCTTTATAGCCATTAAAGCATTTTTATTAACTTCCAAGATAATCTTTTCTTTCAAAATATGGTTAGAAGTGGCATGTTGTTAATTTGTTATTACTTCAGTTCTCGAGTATTTGGATGAACCTCGGTGCCTATGCCTCTTTCAAATTGTGTTTTATTACTTAATTTGTACATGTAAGTTCTTTTTTTTTTTACATAGAGAAGTGAATTTTTCAATTATTAGGAAAGGTTATATTTCATTATCTAAATCCATAAAATAATATGAGTACATAGAGATGAAAATGAAGTTAAACGAAGAACTTGGAGCAAGTAGGAGAGACCAAGTTAAATCTCACTAAAATACAATAAAGTTGAAAATGTATCTAAGCAACACAAATATAATTATTATCAAAAACCGAAACTTGCACTCTTTGTTGCCTTGATTTGTTACATGTACAAATTAAAAGATGATTTAAATTATTTATTGTACAAAAATAGTCTATTATCTTAAGATATAATTTTAAAAATAGTTGTAAGGATTACACGTGCGAGGCACGTGACATAAAGACTAGTTACACATATATTTAGTGAATTTTTTCTACGGAGCAGTATCGAATGACACTACTGCTAATAAGGTGTCTCGGCTATTGGAAAAAGCACTAGTTCCCTGTTCCAATTTAGGTGACACACTTTCCATATTAGTCTGTTCCAAAAAGAATGATGCATCAATTGGAAATAATTCAACTTTAAACTCTTCATTTTACCTATTTATCTTTAATGAGAAGTTTTTATAACCACACCAATATCATGACCCTACAAAACTTTTACCCCTTAAGATTTTAAGACCACAAGTTTTAAAAATCTTTTTTTTCTTCTTAAAACTCCATACCGAATCGAACGACCTTATTTAAATTGAAATGGAAGGAGTACAATATTCTTGCACAACTTCACATCCATAACTTTTTCACCAAAACTAGAGCTAAAATGTAAATGATGGTGACTTCTACTAATTAATTAAGATCAACACTAACAAATTTAAATCAAATCATATGCCAATGACCAATGGACTAGCAATTAAGCTACTTCTTTATGTTCCTTGTACTAATCAAGATCCAATGCTATATAGATTAGTTAATGTAAGCATTATTAATATCATCAACTTGACAAAGATCTTATATTTAATTACATACAAAGTAGTTGCACAATTTATTTATAATTGCAAAGAGAACAATGTGGTATCCTTGGTGTCATACATGATGGATTTTTGAATATAGTATCTTAAAAAGACTTTCAACTTCCTATCAAAATGAAGATTTATGAAACTAAACATGGATTTAAATAACATAAAGTACAAATCAGAAAATTAAACCACTCTGCTATAGAATTGCCCCAAGGGCCAAGTAGGACTAAGTAAATTAATTTCATCTCTATGGCCAAGAAAAGATACCTTATCCCAAATTCATATTTCAGCAATATTCAATTCCATGCCAAAAAGTAGCACTCATAATTAAAAAAAATAGCTCGATGTACAAAGTATCCTGCAGTCGCGCAAGGTCGGAGAAAGGGCCGCAGCCCAGAGGTTGTAGCAATCATAATGCACATACAAAATCTCTACTTGTAACAATTTCATAATCTAAAATAAGATGGCTTATCTCAAATTCATATTTTAGCAATATTGGCTTCCATGCCAAAAGTAGCACTCATAATAAAAAAAGACAATTCAGCGCACAAAGTATTCTGCATGCACACATAGTCGGGGAAAGGGCCGTATCGGCGCACCCCAATGGTGTAGCACTTACAATGCACATACAAAATCTCCACTTGTATCTATTTCATCATCTAAATCGGCATCACTATCAAAATCATCAAGTTCCATGCTAATACTGCTATTAACAAAAGGATCATCACTTTTAGATCCCACTGCTGGTGTTCTTGCTTCTTGAATTATAGCCAATGCTTCTTCAATACTTTGCAATGGTTTCTCTCCACCATTCATTTGTACTAAACTAGCTTCCTCTCCTTCCATAAATTCTTTAGGCAAGTTCTTTAAAAACCAAGGATGCCTCTTTATTTCTTCGATCGTTATTCTCTACAAGCATAATATTCAACGATTAGCTGGTGTTTTACAAGATAAAGAAAGGATAAAGGACAGCTCGGTGCACTAAGGTCTCGTTATGCGCGGGGACCAAAGAAGGGCCGGACCACAAGGGTCTATTGTACGCAGCCTTACCCTGCAGAAGCATTTCTGCAAGAGGCTGTTTCCACAGCCCGAACCTATGATGTTCTGGTCACATGACAACAACTTTACCAGTTACGGCAAGGCTCCCCATTAAGATAAAGAAAGGATCAATGAGCAAAATCGAAACGATTAAGAACTAGAACTCCAACCTTTTCCGGGTTAGCTACGAATATTCGAGATAAGAGATGATTACACTCCTTGGAAACTCGAACATAATAAGGGATTGAATACTGCACACTTAATATCCTCTGTCACAAAATGCAAAATCTTTGAGACAAAGAAAGCAAAACAAGAAGTCAAATTATGATTTTAAAAATGAATCAGAAGTTTACAGTTATTGTTTTCTTGAAATTTCTTGGATCATCAGGATCTTCAAAAGGATAAGCACCAACCAACATCACATATAATGTGACCCCACAAGACCAAACATCTGCTATCTTCACATCAAAATACATATAAATCATGAAGATTAGGTCAACAGATTAATACATTATTTGAAGCTGTATTTTAAAGGTTATTATATCATACCTTTCCATCATATTCTTTTCTTGACAAGACTTCTGGTGCGATATAAGCTGGAGTTCCTACTGTAGATTTTGGTTGTGAATGTAATGCTGCTGACTAAACAATGAAATAACACCAGTCAGAAACTGCATTAAGAAATAAACCAATTCGACGATGGAATATAGTTGTAGTTCATTGCCTTAGAATAGCCAAAATCGCATATTTTCAGACGTTGTGTAGAGGTACCATCTAACAATGTATTTTCAAGCTTAAGATCTCTGTGGCAAATTTGCTGCAATTCAACAAAAATAATCACATTATAATCTCATAATCCAAGAGTAAATTAATGTTCGAGGAATAAACCAATTCGAGATGAACTAAGATAGGTCTGTTTATACCATTGAGTGACAGTAACTGACTCCTGATATAAGTTGTTGAAAGAAAAACCTTCCCTGAAACAAAATAACCATAATTCGGACAAGTTTACAAATCACATCAGTTAACAATAATTTCAAGATTTTATCTTATAAAATTTCTAACTGCTACGCGATGTATTGAAAGAGATCTCTAAAATCTTGTGTTACCTCATCTTCACTGAATCTTCCAGCATTGCATATTCGTTCGAAAATCTCTCCTCCCGAAGCATATTCCATAACTATGGCTAGATGAGCTGGGGTTAGCAATACCTGAGCAATAATGATAACTTATTTTAGCTTTCTAATAAATGCAGCTCGATCGAATTAGACAGAAATCTCTGCCCTCTTAGTAGCAAAAAATTAGAAAAGGAATCATATACAAAGTCTAGAATCAATTGACTGGTAACTTTAACTAACTCGCGCGTTAAAACACAATCTGATAAAGCAACTCGGCTTCTAAAGTGTTGGTACTAAGAATGCCGTAAGATCAACAAAAACAAGAACAACAACAACTACTACTACGTCTCAGTCTCAAACAAGTCAGCGTCGGCAATATGAATCCTCATTAACCATGTTTTGCAGTAAGATCAATAATTAAGAAAAAAAAAGGATTTGTACCAGTGATCAAGTATTAAGAATATATAAGATAAGGCAATTTGGTTAGAAATGTCTATTCATAACATGATTCCAAATTCCCAGTTAGTGGAAGATAAAGATAATGAAAAAATTCAATTCCAACTTTCACTTTGTGAGGAAGAAACAGATTCAAGTAGGATAGATGTGCACAAAATACATATGGAATCTGATTCAAAGAGGCCATCTTTAACTCGACAAATAAAAAAGAAAAAGGAAACAAATATTTATTTGTAGCAAATCACTATGAAGATATAACCACCAAAACTAATTGGACATAAAAACAAAGGTGTATTAAGAACAATTAACAGACATTTTTCTTGAAATGAAACCTTAACCACCAAGTAACTTTTGGGCAGGTCAATTATTGACTCAACCCATTTTGACCCGCCCAAAATCGGCACAACCTGCCTATTTGACACCCCATTTACCTCTTTAAATCTAATGATATTTGGGTGCCTCAAAGACCTGTGATTCATGATTTCCCTTTGAACATGCTCATCAATCTGCAGAAATAACTCAAAGAAACCAAAATAAGAATCAACAGAGTAATAATAAGGAATCTTTTAAATGAACAAAATCAAAAACTCTGTAACAGCCTCATAATATGCAAAAAAAGAATTTAATATATTCACATATGTACTTGTTCAAAAGAAACTTGATCAGAGGAATGGGAGCCTGGTGTAACTGGTAAAGTTGCTGCCATATGACCAGTAAGTCACAGGCGTCATACAATTGACCCTTGTGGTTCGGTCCTTCCCCGGATCCCACGTATAGCGGGAGCTTAGTGCACCCGACTGCTTTTTTTTAAAACTTGATCAGAAGAATTGGATGATAGAGAGAAGAAAACAAACCTTTTTGCCTCTTTCAATATACTTAACAGCAAAAAGCTCACCACTCCTTTTATCTTTCACAAGCTTAGCAACACCAAAATTCCCAGAACCAATGTCTTTAACAATTTCATACCTTTCCATTTTTATATTTCAGCTTCAATACCTCAAATAACCATGCATGAGAAGGAAGAAAAAAACAAAAGGGTGTCTGCTTAAACTTATGTATATATATAGGCTAAAACTTAAAGATGTCAGGAAAAGAGCTGTAATTGAAGAAGCTGTATAAATCTCGCTAACCGGAAAGAATGAAACTCTCTTTGTGATTTTGGTATTTCAAAAGGCATTCTTTCTATATTTGAAAGGGGCGTAAAATGGTGGGACCAGCCGCGGAGTCAAAACTTCTAAACAAGAAAAAATATGCAAAAAAAGAGCAGCTAAGCTCCTGCTATGCACGTGGTCCGGGGAAGGGCCGGACCACAAAGGTCTATTATACGCAGTCTTACGCTACATTTATGCTAGTGATTGTTTCCAAAGCTCAAACTCGTGACCTTCTGGTCACATGGCAGTAATTTAACCAGTTATGTCAAAGCTCCCTTTCTAAAAAAAAATACGCAAGAATGACATAATTGGAATTCAAACGTATGATATATAGAAAATGTTAAACTATTTTTGCCAGGAAATTAGAAAATTTTCAACGATTTATATATATAAATACAAACAAAATAATTTTTATTTTATTTATAATAATCTTTCGACGAATGAAATTCTTGAAATATGTAACTCTGTCCCTAAGTGGGACACCACTAATCTAATGGTTAGAAATTTGAGCATGACTAAAACAAGTTGCACACCTAAACGTGGTACGTATAATTTAGGTGTCCAAAACGAGAAAAAGAAAGAAAAAGAAAAAAAGAAAATGTAAAGACTACAACTTGGTACCTTGGTAGGCTCTACATGCATTATTTTTGGTTATGTTTGTTATTGATCAACACGTTTATTTGTCCTTACCGAAAGCTACTCGACAGAAAGAGATGTTTAAAAAATCTAGCTAGTTTGGCCATAAAAAAGTTTCATATTTTTTCGGAATCAGTATTTGGCCATAAAAATTTTAAATTTCACTTAAAGTTGAACTTCGAAATTTTTCAGAATTTTATAAACACCAAAGAACTGTTTTTAAAATTTTCACTTCAAATCACTCACAAAATTCAAAAATATATCCAAATTGTATTTATGTCCAAATACAACTCTAATTTTCAAAATTTATTTTTACCTTTTTAGAATTTCACAATTCTTATGTCCAAATGCCCACTAATTTTGAAGATTTTTGTGGAATGTTGAGCAATGTAGGACCCGTTTGACCATGAGTTTTGCCAAAATAAATTAAGGATTTATTTTCAAAACTCACGTTTGGCCATAAATTTTGCACACATTTTGGCAAAATCCCATATCCCAAACCCCAAATCCCAAAATCACCAATTGCTGATTTTGGGCCAAAATTCCAAAATTTGGAAATTATATACATGTTTTTCCAAAATAAAGTTGGGAAATATGTTTTAAAAACGTATGTCCAAACACATTTCATCTTCAAACCAAACTTCACCCAAATCAGATTTTTCAAAACAAATTTGGAATCCATGACCAAACGCTAGCGTAAAATCTTCAAATTTAGAAAGAACCTTTAAGTTTTACAGTCTGAGGAAAATCATCCAAGCTTATTTAAAAGGAAGAAAAATGAAAATATTTTTAGGAAGCTGCATTATTTTTTTTTATTTTAAAAAAAAAAAACCAAGGACCGTTGACTTTTCACTATATATCCTCGTTCGGTTCAACCTTGATTTTGTTGGATGTGAAGGTGACTTAGCAATTAGCATTGAACAAGTCTAGTAGGAGTATGGATTTTATTATTTTTCTCAAAAGGTCTCACTCCATTAATACTTATATTTTATGTGTATTTTTTCTTCTCAAACTATTAATCTGATACTTTTACGAGAAATTTTCGTAAAGGACTATCTTTTAGTAATAATTAGCCATCTATAGATACCATTTGCTATATTACGGATACCTTTTATGTGGTTATAAGATGTTTAATGTATTTAAGCTATTGTATTCATGAATACAGTAGCAAAAATAGGCGTGAATCAGGGAAGTCCAGCTAATCAGTTGTTGTATTCGAGTGTATTCGACTGTATTCGTGGAGTGAAACATGGGATTACAGCTGGACAGATTATTGTATTCGACAGTATTCGACTGTATTCATGGCGTGAAATAGGGGATTACACTATTTTTAAAATGGAAAGTGAATCAATTAACATAATAGACTCGTAATATAATCAACAAACTCAATTATAACACACAAATTTTGTATTTTCAGTTACAAAAAAGATTCTCAACCGAAAAATATCCCAAAAACATAGCAATCTTCAGAGAAATTATATAATACATCTGAATACATAAATTATATTAATTAAAAAAAACTTATGAATACATTCATGGCATATAGCGAGACAATGAGTACAATGAAATACATAGAATACAGCGGGATACATTCAAATACAATGAGAAAAAAAGATAGTGAATACAATGAAATACATGGAATACAACGAGATACATTGAATTACAATGAAAAAAAAGACAATGAATACAATGAAATACATGAAAATACATTGAAATATATTAACAGAAAATCAAGTTGCTCAGCCCCAAACTCCAACGTCTTTGTTCAAGAACAAACCCTAATTTTCGCGAATCCGCCGTTCACCGGAAGCCGGTAGTGAGAAACCAACCGGATTAAAAGAGCTAAAGATTTTGAAAGAATCAAAATAGGGCCATCAGGATTTTGAAAGAATCAATATGGTAATTCTGCTGCTAACACAAACACACCAACTTTATTTCCAGAACAAAGTGATTGGTTTGGTGATTTTAGTGACTTGTTCCCCGCGCAAAACGAGCATTGCTTTGGGTTAGATGAAGTTTGCTGCCTTTCCAAGAATGCGAATACTAATTCTACAATTGAACCCCACAACCCAGAAAACAAAACTGAAACTATTCCAAACACTCCACTTGTTGTAGAACACGAGGAGAAGAAGAACAAGAAGGCAATAGGTTCAATGCAATTATCAAGAATTGAAGAAGGAAAGGCGTTTTCTTATCGTGGAAAGAGTATAGAAAGATATGAAATATTGACTGAGAAATTGAGTGAGGCAGATCAATGGAGATGGAGAAAGTGAACCTGTTCTGAAGTGGGCTTTGCACAATTCCGGTGGAAGGAGGAGGAGATCGGAAATTTTTATGGGATGGAGGAAGAGAATGGGATGTATCAAAGTAGAGAGAGAAAGAAAAAAGTGTAACTGATTAGCGTATTTAGTTGCTTATGGCTAGGAAGTAACCAAAATTAAATATTTTGCTATAAACCTTAAAAGGTATCTATAGAATATAATTTTTTAAATGGTATTTATTTAAAATAAATAAGGTGTTAACCTTTGCTATAGGAGGTAAAAATTCCTACTTTTATTTGCGCACCTAGTAATTTTTCTCTCAAACTATGTTCTATGTGAACCATCACCAAACCTCTGACACTAAGTTCCGCAAAGTCCATTACAAAGATTCTTGGGCTAATTTAGAGGGGAGAAATTCAAAAATAGCCAGATTTACAAGTGGCCGTTCAAAAATAGCCCAGTTTTAAAAGTAATCGAAATTTATCCACTTTTTATGTAAAGATAAATTTGAGCGAAACACTATTCAAAATCCTGAAAATACGCCAGTATATTATGCTGGAGTTCCAGCATAAATATACTTGAACTCCAGCATATTATATTGGAGTTCCAAGAAGTATGTTGGAACTCCAGCATAATATGATGGAGTTCCAGCATAAGTACACTAGAACTCCAGCATAATATACTGGAGTTCCAGCAAAGTATACCGGTCAAGTATAATATGCTGGAAGTTCATACACAAGTGCTCGAATCTCCAGTATATTATGCTGGAACTTCCGCGTGTTGGAGTTCCAGCATAATATGCTGGAAGTTCATAGACAGGTGCACCGAACTCCAGTATATTATGCTGGACCGGTCTCTGTTGTAGTAAAATAGTAGCTAACTTTTATTGACTTGGTAAACGCTGGCTATTTTTGAATGACCAGTCCGAAAACTGGCTAGACCGTGCTATTTTTATAATTTAGAGATTTGCGGCCCGTTTGGCCATCATTTTTTTTTTGTTTCATTTTTTGTCGGATCTTTTTTTTTTGGAATCAATGTTTGCCATAAAAATATCAAATTTCGCTTGAAGTTGAATTTCGAAATTTTTCGAAAATGTGAAAAACTCCAATACGCTATTTTTCAAAATTTTCACTTCAAATCACTCACAAAAATTCAAAAATAACTCCAAATTATATTTATGTCCAAACGCAACTCTAATTTTCAAATATCATTTTTGCTTGTTTTTGTTTTTTGTTTACATTTTTTTCGGAATTTTACATTGTCATCCATATTGTCATGTATTTATGGATAATGAACCTCACGAATAAGCTATTTTTTTGTGTGTGCCTCCCCCAGTTCGTGGTAAAGGCAGTATGCTTGTTCATCAAAAGGCACATTATGGGCGACCAATTAATACATAGGACTTCTACTTCCGATCATTGGTTTGCGTGACTGGAGATGAAGAGATTGGAGGAATAGTATCTTATCCATACTAATTCAGAAAGTTTCTACTTTGAATTATCAAGAAATAGCTTACCTTCTAGACTATTAGTAGGCGTTTGACCATAGATATCAAAAAAAGAAAAAAATAGAAATTGTATTTTTACTCTAATTTTACTTTAAAAAATTTGTATGAATGGAGAAATTAATTGTTTGAAAAAACATAAAAATTTTGGTTTTTAAAAAATCGTTTTCAAACAATCTCCGAACACTGATAATTTTTTATGGGCAAACATCAGCTCCAAAAAAGTAGAGATTTTGCATGACCAAACGGTAGCTAAGATTTTCAACATCTTCCAAACCTCGAGTAGCCGGGGCCTTAACCCCCCCTCTCCCCCTCCCCCACAAAAACAAGGAAGGGTAATTATCACAATATTGATTTGAATGAAAGAAATTGAGCTTTTTATCATTTAATATAATTTTTTTTCTCTTAAATTAGGCATTGTTTTTTCCATTTAAACACCTTATTTTAGAGCACAATTTGTTGACATTTTACGTTATAAATTTTTTTACCTATTAAATCCTTTATCTGCAGTCAATCAAAGAAATCAAACGCGTAATATTTACACGTGAGTGACATGTCCAAGAAATAAATAAAAATGAACACGTCATATTCGAGTTCATATAAATAATTTCGATCTGTTATAAAATAAAAGCAATTCGGTAAAATATAAATAAGAAGGACAAAAAGAAGGAAGAACTCTTTTCTTCTTTTTCTCTTTGGTGTGTTCTCCTTTACAATTTACATAACCTTTTATAGGCATAAAATGAGAAGACTTACTATTGTAAATAGTAATGGGATGGACATAAAGTAGGAGATTTCATCCGTAAGCTATTCACATACATGGGCATCTATATCTACAAACTATTCACAACACTCCCCCTTGGATGTCCATGTAAGATAATGTGCCTCATTAAGAACTTACTAAAATAAATATTGGGACGTACATAGTTATTTATAATATGATATGCATTGCTTGCTGCCTCATTAAAATCCTTACCAGGAAAACCTAGTGGGACAAAATCTTGGTTAAGAAAAAGAGTGCAGCTAGCTACTCCCCCTGATGAAAATATCACTTGATGTCTCGAAGACGACGTATTCCAATCTTGTATATCAGCTTTTTAAATTTTGAGGTTGGTAATGCCTTAGTGAACAGATCAGCTAAATTATCACTTGAACGAACTTGTTGAACATCTATTTCACCATTATTTTGAAGATCATGAGTGAAAAGGAATTTCGGTGAATTGTGTTTTGTTCTATCTCCTTTGATTTATCTTCCTTTCAGTTGAGCTATGCATGCAGCATTGTCTTCATACAATATTGTTGGAATATTGCCTTCCGAAGAGAGAACACATGTTTCCCCAATGTGTTGAGTTATCGATCTCAACCAAACGCATTCTCGACTTGCTTCGTGAATGGCTATTATCTCTGCATGATTTGAAGAAGTGGCAACCATAGTTTGTTTCGTTGAACGCTATGATATGGATGTACCTCCACTTGGAAATAAATAGTCTATCTGAGATCGACCTTTATGTGGATCAGACAAATATCCTGCATCTGCATAACCAATCAATGATGACTTGGATCCATTTGAATAAAATAAGCCCATATCAATGGTCCCTTGGAGGTATCTGAATATATGTTTAATACCATTCCAGTGTCTTTGTGTTGGCGAAGAACTAAATCTTGCTAATAAGCTTACTGAGAAAGCTATATCTAGTCGGGAATTATTGGCAAGATACATTAATGCCCCAGTTGCACTAACATATGGTACTTCGGCACCAAGAAGCTCTTCATCATTTTCATGAGGTCGGAATGGATCTTTCTTTATATCAAGTGATCTCACAACCATCGGGGTACTCAATGGATGTGCTTTATCCATATAGAATCGCTTTAAAATATTTTTGGTGTATGTTGATTGATGGACAAATATTCCATCTTTCATATACTCAATTTGTAGACCAAGATAAGATCTTGTCTTTTCAAGATCTTTCATTTCAAATTCTTTCTTCAAATAGTCTACTGCTTTTGGAAGTTCCCCAGGAGTTCTAATGATATTTAAATCATCAACATACACGGCGATTATAACAAATTCAAATCCAGGCCTTTTTATAAAGACACAAGGTCAAATTGGGTTATTTTTGTACCCTTCTTTCAACATGTATTCACTCAGGCGATTGTACCATATACGACCTGATTGTTTCAATCCGTATAAAGATTTCTGAAGCTTTATTGAACAAGTTTCACGAAAACTTTTATATGCTTTTGGCACTTTAAATCCCTCAGGTATTTTCATAAAATTTTTGTTGTCTAATGATCCATACAAATAGGCTGTGACAACATCCATTAGACGCATATCAAGTTTTTCATGCACTGCCATATTTATGAGATACCTGAAGGTGATAGCATCCACTACAGGAGAATATATATCCAAATAATCAATGCCAGGCCTTTACGAAAACCCTTGTGCCACAAGTCGCGCTTTATATCTAACGATTTCATTTTTATCATTTCGTTTTCGCACAAAATCCATTTATACCCTACATGCTTTATACCTTCAGGTGTTCGAACAATGGGTCTGAAGACTTCATGTTTTCCAAGTGAAGTTTACTCTGCCTGGATAGCGTCTTTCCATTTTGGCCAATCATTTCTCTGTCTACATTCATCGACAGATTTTGGTTCAAGATCCTCATCTTGTTGCATTATTTCAACAGCAACATTATAAGCAAAAATATTATCGATAACAATATTATTTCGGATCCATATTTTTCAGTTGAGACGTAACTTATTGATATCTCTTCATTCTCGTTATTTTCAGGTACCTGGACCTCCCCTAAGGTCTTTGATCACGCCCAACTATGCCTTATAAAAAGGACTCTGCGGACGTTGCAAATATAACCCGAGTATTACACCCAGGGTCGAATCCACAGAGAGTTAACCTATCAACCACTATCTTCAGACCTACTAATTCTTCAGAACCAGCTTCCCAAATATTCAAATCTCAGTTGATTGTTCTTTAACAACTAGCTTGCAAGTAACTAAATGGCTGTAAACTAAATTAATAAGGTTGTAAACAATTATGAGGAAAAGCTAAGGCAATGATTTCCCCTATTGATGGAATCCCTTCTGTTTATGCTCATACAAATTTACCCATACATCTCTATCAATCATGAACGCTAATCTTACCGCAAATCTCTCCCGAGTAATCACAGTAATCTACTATTGCACTCTCCCGAGATACACTAGCTTACTTTATTTAGCACAATTCACTTTAGATTACACCCAAGGCTTCGTTATCCCTAATCCCGCCTTTAAACCCGCAATTATAGATTCCTCTAATAATCTAGGAGTGGTGTTGTTCAACAATACCCTAAATATGCACTCTTTTCCAAGTTATGCACACTAAATAGGCACAGCTAATTGAGGATCCTATCAATTAACTACAACGAACACGAAGTTGAACAAATAGAGATTAAACTAGCAATTTGTATTCACATAAACAAGAAGTTCATCACTCAATAGGTTCCATCAAAACCTTAGACAAGGAATTTAGCTACTCATGGCTATGGGAAAAGAAACTAAGATTGAATTCATCATAAAAATCAAAAGAAAAGAAGAAAGATGTTTAGAGTATTCTCTCACAATGGTTTTCCTTGCTAAGAAACCTTAAAAATCAATACATGCCTCTCTTGGGCGAAGTCTAATGTTTTAAATAAGGTTTAGGTCTAAAAATCTCGTAATTGACACTTTGGTCCCTGAAGTTTCTGCGCCTGCCGCAGTCGCGGTAGAACCGCGGCCAAACACCCTCGCGGATTCTCTGATCTTCTGAAGTTGCTTCCCACCGCGGTTCTGCCGCGGTCGCGGTGGAACCGCGGTGGACCCAGTGCTCTAAATCTTCGGCCTGTTTTGCATGGTTCACTTGGAAAATTTCACAGTTGGCTTCTTTTTCATCAATTTTGACTCCAAAACTGCTCCTTAGCCTTCCTTATACATATATCACCTGCACATCATGAAAAGCACTAATAAGAGCATTTTGTTATCACTTTTAGCATTAAAACTACACAAGAAGGTGATTATTTAAGGTGTGATTATTGTCAAATTCACCTATTATCAGTCTTATCATTTTTTACGTCTTGGGGCTCTTCTTGAGCCACTACTTCCGTGTTATGATCACTTTGATCATTTGCTCCTTTTCTTCTTCGCGAATTTTTATCTTTAGAACTTATTGGTCTACCACGTTTCAAGCGTGGCTTAGACTCATTTGCTTTAGTTGATTGTCCTACCGGGATATCAACTCGAATTGGAGCATTAACAACTGGAATATGAGACTTAGTCACCCTTGGTAGGTCAGTTAATGCATCTGGCAATTGGTTTGTAATATTTTGCAAATGAATAATCTTTTGAACCTCTTGTTGACATTGATTTGTTCGAGGGTCTAAATGAGACAGTGATAATGCATTCCAATCTATGTCCTTTTTCAGTTGCTTATTTTCTCCCCCTAATGTTGGATATACTGATTCATCAAAATGGCAATAAGAAAATCTTGCCATAAATAAATCTCCAGTCATCGGCTCTAGATATTTTATAATAGAAGGAGATTCATATCCAACATATATCCTCAACCTTCTTTGAGGACCCATCTTTGTACGTTGTGGTGGAGCAATTGAAACATATATCGCACAACCAAAGATTCTAAGATGGGAAATATTTGGATNTGATCACGCCCAACTATGCCTTATAAAAAGGACTCTGCGGACGTTGCAAATATAACCCGAGTATTACACCCAGGGTCGAATCCACAGAGAGTTAACCTATCAACCACTATCTTCAGACCTACTAATTCTTCAGAACCAGCTTCCCAAATATTCAAATCTCAGTTGATTGTTCTTTAACAACTAGCTTGCAAGTAACTAAATAGCTGTAAATTAAATTAATAAGGTTGTAAACAATTATGAGGAAAAGCTAAGGCAATGATTTCCCCTATTGATGGAATCCCTTCTGTTTATGCTCATACAAATTTACCCATACATCTCTATCAATCATGAACGCTAATCTTACCGCAAATCTCTCCCGAGTAATCACAGTAATCTACTATTGCACTCTCTCGAGATACACTAGCTTACTTTATTTAGCACAATTCACTTTAGATTACACCCAAGGCTTCGTTATCCCTAATCCCGCCTTTAAACCCGCAATTATAGATTCCTCTAATAATCTAGGAGTGGTGTTGTTCAACAATACCCTAAATATGCACTCTTTTCCAAGTTATGCACACTAAATAGGCACAGCTAATTGAGGATCCTGCCAATTAACTACAACGAACACGAAGTTGAACAAATAGAGATTAAACTAGCAATTTGTATTCACATAAACAAGAAGTTCATCACCCAATAGGTTCCATCAAAACCTTAGACAAGGAATTTAGCTACTCATGGCTATGGGAAAAGAAACTAAGATTGAATTCATCATAAAAATCAAAAGAAAAGAAGAAAGATGTTTAGAGTATTCTCTCACAATGGTTTTCCTTGCTAAGAAACCTTAAAAATCAATACATGCCTCTCTTGGGCGAAGTCTAATGTTTTAAATAGGGTTTAGGTCTAAAAATCCCGTAATTGACACTTTGGTCCCTGAAGTTTCTGCGCCTGCCGCGGTCGCGGTAGAACCGCGGCCAAACACCCTCGCGGATTCTCTGATCTTCTGAAGCTGCTTCCCACCGCGGTTCTGCCGCGGTCGCGGTGGAACCGCGGTGGACGCAGTGCTCTGAATCTTCGGCCTGTTTTGCATGGTTCATTTGGGAAATTTCACAGTTGGCCTCTTTTTCATCAATTTTGACTCTAAAATTGCTCCTTAGCCTTCCTTATACATATATCACCTGCACATCATGAAAAGCACTAATAAGAGCATTTTGTTATCACTTTTAGCATTAAAACTACACAAGAAGGTGATTATTTAAGGTGTGATTATAGTCAAATTCACCTATTATCAACACCCCACACTTAAACCTTTGCTCGTCCTCGAGCAAACTAAACCACACTTCTAGGCCTATCTGCTCAATGCATTGCCCCAATTTATGTCACACCTGCTATTATCAAAGATCGACCTAAGCGATGCACAATCATATCTCAGATGCAGACTCTCATGCCAAGACACACTTGTGCTCACTCTAATTACTCTAACAGAAGTGAAGACTCACTTTTTCTTCCTGAGTCACATGCCCTCACATAAACAAAATTTGAGAGAAGTTTCACACACATAAAATTCAACAACAAGGAACCATATATAGAAAGAATTCGCTCCCTCTCAGCAAAGAGCATTCACAAGCCACACAGACACACCATAAGCTTGCCCCTAGTGTAATACTCCACTAATCGAGCCATTCAGTCAAAGATCAAGAGGTCTTTATAGGTTGTAATGTAGGCTAAGGGACGGGTAGGATATATTTGGATATAGTGACTAACCTCCCTAAGCACTTTTAATACATACTTCCTTTTGTTTCACCTTCATGCTCAACCCAATCATTATTCCACATTTTGTTTCACTTGTGACCCCCACTTTTCTTTAGGTACAATGGCTTCTTCTTTTTCTTTTCTTTTCTCTCTTTTTTTTTCCAGATTTATTGTACACTGCCAGTTCACCAACCAGAACCTTCATTCTTGATTCCCCTTTTTTCACTAACTTTCTCCCACCCCACACTTAGACTTTTGCATATTCTTTAGTGATTCAAGTGCTTCTAGGAGGTAAAGGTTCAAACAATTAACTTATTCAAACACAGCGATTTAGATCATTATAGGGTTATCAAAGAATAGGCTTCAGGCTCAAAGGGGTTAACTATGGTAATATGCACAGGTGGATTCTCAAGTATAAAGGGTTGCACAAAGAAATCCCTCATTCATCTCTAAAACCAAACGACTTTTATTTCGCTTTGCAAACACACAGGGCAAGTTCTAGGTATCATATGCAAGCATAGGATGCAAGTAACAACTCACACACACTTAGCATGTAACTCATTCCGAATCAGTTCATCAACACAATCATATGAGTGTTCAAGCAAGACAAGATGTGCAAAATTAAGGCATATATTATGAGTCCACAAACAAGCTTAGACGTCACACTCTCAAGTTCTTTTCTTTGCAAGTATGCACATTTGGGGTTACATTTTGACCTTCACCCATCTAATCCTAACACTACAAAAGAAAAATCTACCTAACCCGGTTCAAGAAAAACCCTTGGAAAAGAACCGTGGTCAAAAGAAAAACCAAGGGGGGGGGGGGTACTACACTACCTAAAAGAAGAAAATAAAATTAAAAAAATTCTACATGGACTACTTCCCTCAAGAGTACTGTCCACATAGTCCGTCATCAGGAAGAGTCCACTACAAGTTTTTGTGTTTTTTTTTTATTTTTTTTATTATTATCTGACTTTGACCCTCAAGAGACCCGTCAACAAGTGTCCGTCGTTGGGCCAAGTCAGCTACTCCTAATATAACACACTCACATATATACAACACATCACTCTCATGCTACAGCACAACGACATACATCTATATACATTACAATACACAGTTAGAGCAAGTCTCCCACCCCACACTTAAAATCATGGCATGTCCCCATGTCATATCAATAAAGTAAAGAGCAGAAGGGTGAGAAGACTTCCCTGAGACTCAATCCGAGTCGGAGACGGTGCTGGGGTCTACATGGCAGGCCCTCCCCAATGCACGTAACCAAGCCATAAATCGGCTCTCAGATCTAGCCTGCCTCTGTGACATGGCGTCCATCCGCGTGTGTAGACCATCCACCGAGGTGCGGAGATCCGCGACCTCTTCCTCCAAGGAGCGTAGCATAGGCCGGGAGGACTGTGAGCGTGATAGGTCTGCTCCAGAATGGGGGCGCCGAGAGGGCCCGGCACTGTCAACAGACCGCCTAGACGGTGCAAAAGGAACCGGATCATCCTCCTCATCATCAATCTTAATTGTGGTACGGGTACCCCTGCCCACTCTGATGCTAGAAGCTTTGAAAGCTTCTCTGGGAGGCAAATCTCCATCTGCAGGATTGGTGGGGGTGTTTCTCATCAAGCATAATGTGGTTACCAAGGAAGGGAAATAGAATCCCTTTGTCAGCAGCGGTCCCCGTAAGACCATTTCATCTCCAATTACCCGGGCCGCATCAAAATCCTTCCCTGTCACAAAGCACCAAGTCAACAGTGCCCTATTGAAGTTCACGTCCGTGGTATTGCTGGATGGCAGGAACCTGCTACAGATAACAGTCAACCAACACTTGGCCAAGTGAGTGAAAGAGTTAGAGTTGAGGGTTATTTGGTCACGTATCCAAATGGGCTGCCCCCCGTGCAAAGTACATCCGTCATGACCTCCCATGTCACCCCCGGCCTGTCATGGTAATAGTCGACGTCATTGGTGAACGGAGGCAGCCGCAACACCCGGCGAATTGTTTGAATTTGAGCACTGACCACCATACCCCGAANTGATTTTGTTACGAGGGTCTAAAATGAGACAGTGATAATGCATTTCCAATCTATGTCCTTTTTTCAGTTTACGCTTATTTTCTCCCCCTAATGTTTGGATATACTGATTCATCAAAATGGCAATAGAAAATCTTGACCATAAATAAATCTCCAGTCATCGGCTCTAGATATTTTATAATAGAAGGAGATTCATATCCAACATATATCCTCAACCTTCTTTGAGGACCCATCTTTGTACGTTGTGGTGGAGCAATTGAAACATATATCGCACAACCAAAGATTCTAAGATGGGAAATATTTGGATCCTGACCAAAAGCCAATTGTAATGGGGAGACTTTATGATAACTTGTGGGCCTTATCCGCACAAGTGCTGGTGCATGCAAAATAGCATGACTCATACTAAAATAGGAAGTTTTGTGATCATAAGCATTGGTCTAGCAATTAATTGGAGGCGTTTGATCAATGATTCCGCTAGACCAGTTTGTGTATGAACATGAGCAACCGCATTCTCAATTGTTATCCTAGTTGATATACAATCATCATTAAAGGCTTGGGATGTAAACTCACCAACATTATCAAGACGAATTGTCTTAATTGCATAATCTGGAAATTATGCTCTTAGCTTTATTATTTGAGCAAACAATCTCGCAAATGCCATATTGCGAGTTGATAGTAAGAACATGTGACCATCTTGTAGATGCATCTACCAAAACCATATAATATCTGAATGGTCCACATGGAAGGTGAATGGATCCACATATCACCCTGTATATGTTCTAGAAATGCAGGGGATTTCATTCGAACTTTAATAGTTGATGGTCTAATAATTAATTTGCCTTGAGAACATGCAGCTCAAGAGAATTCCTTAAATTGAAGAATCTTCTGGTTCTTCATTGAATATCCATGTGAATTCTCAATTTATTTACACATCATATTAGAACCAGGATGGCCCAACCGATCATGCCAAATAATAAAACTATATTGATTAGTATACTTCTCGTTTACTACAGCATGTGTTTCAATCCTGCTAATACTTGTGTAGTATAAGCCGGAGGAAAGAGCAGGTAACATTTCAAGCACATATTTTTTACCAGACATTATTGTTGTAATATAAAGATATTCAATATTTTCATCATTTAATATGGTAACCATTTTGGCGAAT